CGAGGGGGGTAAAATAAGGACCCAGATTGTTGGGGGCAATATGCTGACTCTCTGTAAACCGGACAGAGAAGGCTGAAAGCCCTATGAAGCGGTATATAAGTCTACTGCTATATTAAAGTAAATGAAACTCCGGCTGGCTAGAAATATGTCTACTGTGGACCTTAACCCCATTCCTAAGAGGTCCTTAAAAGGGGGCGTATATAAGCGCCTGCCTACCGTCCCTCTCCTGCTGTCCCCATTTATCTGTATTGACTTGCTTCGTTCCTGTTTTATGTTTATACTTCTTACCTTGTACCATGTTTGACAAACAAAGAAATAACATAATTAAAATACGCCTTTCAAATCTGACGGGGAAATATTTTCCCAGCAGAAAAGGAGATGGTGCCGAGGAAGCCAGAAAGGGAACGCTGGATCCCTTCGGATCGCAGGGCAGGTAAACGGGAGTTTTGGTTTTTAAAACTTCTCCCCTGAGCGAAAACAGGTTCTCCCCGCCAATTAAAAATAAATAAATCTAGCAAAACCAGCAGAGGAAGAGGAAGAGATAGTTTTTCCGCTTCCCGGGAGATGTCGTTGATTTAGAGAGCGAGGTGGGAGGCACGTGAAACGAAGAATGTTTAATAATAAATGAATAAACTGTGATCTTGGCAGGCTGGAGCGCTTCCCACCACGGATCTCCTCTTGCGGTCCAGAGTGAGATCGCCAGCTCCGGATCTCCCCCTTCTTAGCCTCAACACACCCTCAGAGGAGAAAATCGGGGGGTCCTGGGTGTTGTGTCCCCCCTCCACACACACCACCCCCAGCTTACCGCTCGCTTATAGCCGCTCCAACCACTGGGGTCTTTCTGGTAGGTCTCCATGTGTTGGGCGGCCCATTGAGCAGCTTGCTGGTACTCCATGGCGAGAGGTGGTGACGCTTTCCCGGCTGGACTAGGAATGGCTGGTGGTGGTGGAGGAGGAGGAAGAGACGGGAAAGGATCTGCTGAGATCAGCCCAGAAAAGGGGCCAGCCTCCCTCTGGAACCGCGCCATCCTCGCTCGGAGGAATCCGCGCGGCGCCGCCTCCTCCTGCTTCTCCCAACACGCGCCCTCGGGGAAGGATCGTGAGAATGGAGGATTCGGGTTTGGGGAATGGCCCGACCCCCTAAGGGCGAGAACTCCTGCCTATCAGTTGCACTGGTGCTGATTTATATACCCGCCCTCAAACTGGGGGTTTTGAGTGGCTCCTGGAGCGATGGATGGAGCAGGAGACAGCCCCTGCGTGTTGCGATTTTGGTTTCACAACAACTTTGCAAGGTGGGATAGGGAAGAAGAGACTTTGGAAAAAGTGGAAAGAAGAGAATGATTAAAAGCCTGAAGGAAAAAACATACGAAAAACAGTGGCAGGAATTGGGCATGGCCACTCTAGGGGGGACATTGTACCAGTGTTCCAGTATTTGAGGGGCTGCCACAAAGAAGAGGGGGGGCGGGTGTCAACCTGTTTCCCAAAATACCAGAAGGCAAGACAAGAAACAATGGATGGAGATTAATCAAGGAGAGGAGCAACTTGGAATTAAGGAGAAACCTCCTAACAGTGAGGGCAATTAACCAGTGGAACAACTTGCCTCCAGAAGTTGTGGGTGCCTCATCACTGCGGATTTTTAAGAAGAGACTGGATAAGAGTCACTTGTCTGGAATGTTTTGGGGTCTCCTGTTTGAGTAGGGGATTGGACTAGAGGACCTCCAAAGTCCCTTTCAGCTTTATTCGGAGGGATGGGATGGATGGATGGATTCCCCATCCTGCCCCAGAGGCCTTTCAAGACTGCACCCCCCAAAAAAATATTTTTTATTCCAGCTTCCATCCTTGTGGATCCCAAAGCTTGTTTTCTGTTCATAGGCAGTTGTTTTTTTTTAAAGATTTCAGTCCAGAGGACTAGATTTCTGAATCTATTGGGTGAATGTGCATTGTGCATTTGAAAGAGGCCAAAGTCATTTGGGGTTAAAATCAAATTAACCAGGAGCAGAGCCTGATTAATTGTAATGGTGGAAAACTTTCCAAGAGTCTTAAGACTTCGAAGACTGAACAATCAAATGAAAAATGATCATATTGCATTATTTGTCATTCTGCCTTCTTGGACAGATGGTCAAACGTTGGCAATTAGATATGAAGGAAAAACACTCTGCACATGCTCAAGGACTGCCTAGACAGAAATGAAGGGACAAGGAAAAGAAAATATCATTTCTATGTGCCAAAGCTTAACAATATCACAGCTTATTATCAACCATGGTTTGTAACATCAGGAAAAAACTAATGTGGTTTTGCTGGTCAAGCTGAACTTAAAAAAAGGAGTTCTTTGTGAAAGTGAGCCTTAAATGATAGAAATTTCCCATGGAAGTGGGAAGAATAAGTCCTGGATTCAATTCAGAAGTAAAACAAATGACCCTTTAAATGAACATGGCTGTTTTTAGAATGCAGTTCTAAGCTGCTTTGAGGGTCGCAGTGGCTCAGTGGCTAAGGTGCTGAGCTTGTCGACCAGAAAGGTCAGCAGTTTGGCGGTTCAAATCCCTAGCGCCATGTAACAGAGTGAGCTCCCATTACTTGTCCCAGCTTCTGCCAACCTAGCAGTTCGAAAGCCCGTAAAAATGCAAGCAGAAAAATAGGAACCATCTTTGGTGAGGATGTAACAATGTTCCGTGGGCTGTTGGCATTTAGTTATGCCAGCCACATGACGACAGAGGCACCTTCGGACAGCGCTGGCTCTTCTGCTTTGAAACGGAGATAAGCACAGCCCCCTAGATTCTGGAATAATTAGCACATATGTGCAAGGGAAACTTTTACCTTTACCTAAACTGCATTATTCCAGCAATACAAAACAACAGTGATTTTTTTTTTTTAAAGCAAAATGTCTGCAGATGCCCTCAATGCTTCAGGACAAAAAGTGGCTTTAACCATCTTTCCATCTTTAACAGTTTATTTGTTTTCCTCTTGTGGGAAATCGGATGGAAATAGAGGCGAAAAACCTCTATTACAATGAGATTTGGGGTGGGTGGGAAACCTAGCAACATTGTTTTTGGTTAATAGTATTGTTAAATTAACTGCTCAGTGGTTAAGTGTGCT